ACTAGCAGAAACAAATCCAACCTGTTTCAGGGGTTCCTACCATCAACTCTAAGGTTAGCTGTCTTCCTTGTTGTCATGCTCTTATTTTTTTAATTTTTGTTCTCTGTCTATTAATTTTATTAGGTTTTTGAGGTCTTCTACATTTTCACCTATGGATGTAGTGTAATCAGCAGATCAAAGATTGTTGATGTTCCTTCCACGAGTTTTGAAGCCTTTATCATCTCTCTCCAGTCTTGCTTCTCTTATTATTCAGCATATTGGTTGAATAAGTAGGATGAGAGAACACAGCGTCATCTAACTTCTTTTGCTGGTCTTAAACCAGCCTGCTTCTCCATTTTCTGTCATGACTGTGACTTCATGACCAATGTAGAGGCCCTTCAAAGAGATGATCGGGTACACCTATTTTCCCGAGGACGTTCAATAATTTAGCATGGTTGACACAATCAAAGGCTTTGCTGTAATCACTGATGTGTAAACTTATTTTCAGTCCTGCTGACAATAGCCACTATCGAAAATAGAGAGGGTGACAGCAATAAAAATCTGGGTACATACATAAGAGGCACTAGATCTTCATTTATTCTTCTTGACCTATGTAGAGATTCTTCATAAGAACAATAAGATGATCAGGTACACCTATTGTCCTGAGGACGTTCTATAAGTAAACACAATCAAAGGCTTTGCTATAATCAATGATGTGTTAACTGCCAGTGGTACAAAATTTTAAAGATTTTGGCTCGAGTTGGGATCAATCCCCTTGTTAAAAAAGCACATTAACATTCACAATAGGTTTTCAAAAAGGATTATTGACTAAAAAGAGTTTCCACCTAATAAAGTTGAGAAGTAACGGTTGAAGGTTCAAATCGGTTATTTGATATTTTTTATGTTTGCTCTTTCTTTTCTACACTATATGATTTGACCTTAATCGTCCTTTTCCTGATTTTGATAGTTTTCTGTTTCAAACTTTTAATTACGTCTCTGCGACTCCCTTTTTTTTGGAAATATCTTTTATTTCTTACTTTGAAGTCATTACCCAGATGAGATTTAATTATTGTCTCTTATCATCAGTGAGGGGAGTCAAGAGAGCATAAAATGAAGACAAATCCAATCACACACTTCTGTTTCCTCCAGCATAGATCGGTCACATACGTCCATGTTCTAGAACAAACGCTGACAGTGAGTGGGTTTGAAAACTTTCATTAACGTCGGTCTTCATTTTCGGATGCAGTTTTATATTGGGTGGCACATGTGGCTCGCAGGACATGAACTGCTGAAGGCAAAACTATAAAACATGACGGAATAAAAGTATGTGATGAGCAGGTATAAGCAATAGCTTTTATAAAAGACAATACAACAGGCATAGATTTATTATTTCCAACCAGCCAAAAACACATTATTTCACATATTTAGAGTTGTTCTTGCAATATGTTCCTTGAATTATATTTAAAAATAAAACAATTTTTTTTGTACATTTGGGATTGGTTGGTACCTCTGTTAAAGGAGAACTATGGGGTTAAGGCTTTTCCCCACAGTTCTCCTTAGGGTAATGGGAGGACACAAACTAGCGTCCTCCCGTCACCCTAGGCTCAGTATACTGCGAGCTGTAGCTCGCGGTATACTGAGATGCCGCAGTATACCGCGAGCTGCTGCTCGCGGTATACTGAGACACCGCAGCTGAAGCGGATCGCGACAATTATGCCGGGATCCGCCCAGCTGCGTGACTGACAGCTGGCTCTGCCTATCTAGAGGCAGAGCCAGCTGTACCCGCCCCCTCCCCTGTCCGTTCCGTCAGTCAGCGCTGGCGGATCGGAGCGGGGAGAATCCAGCCCCTCACTGTGACAGGATCGAGAGGTGAGCGAACGCCGGTATGTGTTTGCTCACCTCCCGATCTACTGAGCCGACCTGTGACAGTCTCATTGTCACAGGTCGGCTAGAACTATGAGGTGAGTGAACAGCACTCACCTTATAGTTCTCCTTTAAGTTTTTTTTTTTTTGGCTGCCTAATGATCCTGACACAAAAGGAAGTGAGAGGAAACCTCTCCAAACTGAAGAGAGATCTGCTCAATGACACTTGTCGATGGCACAGATGTGCCCATTGGAAGATTTCCCCTCACCTCTGTTCCAGGGACAGACATTACATTTTGCTTTCCCATTACTTTCTGTCCCATTACCTTATATATATATAGATCTATATATAAAACTTAAAGGAGAACTATGAGGTGAGTGCTTTTCACTCACCTCATAGTTCTAGCCGACCTGTGACAATGAGACTGTCACAGGTCGGCTCAGTAGATCGGGAGGTGAGCGAACACATACCGGCGTTCGCTCACCTCTCGATCCTGTCACGGCTCTCTGCCATGACAGGGGAGGGGCTTGATTCTCCCCTCCCCGCTCCGATCCGCCAGCCCTATGTATATATCTATACAACTGTGGTCTCACCAGCATTCTCCTCTTAATAGGGATAGAAATAGCTTTTCCGTAGATGATGTTTGATATCCTGGCATTCACCTGGATCCGGCTCAGCTCACATACAGATAAAGAAGACGGTACATAGCATAATTGAAAATAAAAAACCTACTTACATGGAACATACACAAGACATCCAGCAAACAAGAGTATATATCTCGATCCAAAATTCCTCAGCTCGGCGATGGTCAAAAGTTTATGCACCTGCAATAACTCCAAAGCCCCACCTGATCTCTCTTCACAGCTCTGACTGCTCTGGGCTGCTTCTGGGTGTGACTTTGTAAGCCTCCACTCTACCCGGTACGTCTAATTGACTTCATCATGTAGTGCAGCCCTGCACGCTGGAGTTTAATTTTCGCTTGCAAATGGTCACCTGACCGCACTGACCAATGAAAAGTGCTTCTGACCCCACTGACCAATGAGAAGCAATTCTTGCTAAGAAGTGCTTCTCATCGGTCAGCACGGTCAAATATTTGCCATTTGTGAGTGAAGTTCAAAATCCAGAGCACAGGGCTTTGCTACACATCAGTATGGGAAAAGATAGATGCTTCCTGCTGCACTCCTTACCGGAATAGATGGACCTGAAAAGGCCAGGTGTGTGCTTGTAATGACTATGGATGGCGCCGTATAGTAAGCAAAGTTCAAAAATGTCATCAGCACACCAAAGGTAAAGTGAAATCAATCCATTTAATGACACAGCATTGTCAAAAAGCTGTGCTGGTGACATTTTTGAACACAGCAGTACGGGGTACAGATAATATGCTGGCACCAGTGGTGGGTATGGAACGTTTGCCAAAAGGTAAGTATAGCAATAAGGGGGGGGGAGGGAGTTGGCCAGATTGGAGGGGGTAATTCCATTATTTTTACCTAAAGCCCCGTAACCAATGGTCTGTAATGCAGTACAGACCTAGGCTGGAGGAAGAGTCTGCAGGAGCCTGGGCATTGCACTCTCGAACCACTGAATGTCTTGCAGGCTCCATTGCAAAAACAAATCATAAATGCACATTTTATTTAAATCAGTATGGTTGCATTTAATAATTTTTTTGTAAAAGGTTGGAACTATCACTCCTGGGTGGATTCATTTTCAATGTAACAATTCATTTTGACCTTAACCCTTCATCCCTTACTCCCCATCTTTTGGGTATACTCTCATTGTACATTATTTTTTTAATTTTTCGATAATTTATCGATATGTTTAAAATGTTGTAGGAATGGATTGGTGGCACTTGCACAAGCCGATTTATCAGTTCATACTACCTGTGTTCACACAGTATATATACCAGATAATATCAGACACACACATTTTATAATGCTATGTCACGTTCATTGATTGTAATATGAATACATTCCTTGTACACAGCTGCACCTGTTGAGAAAAAATATATCACGATTTAACATGGATTAATAGTTAAGTGAAAATTTTCAATAACAACTATTGAATAACAAAGAAAGCAATCAATATGCATTCAGATGGTGCCCACAACTACAACCACATCAATTCACTATGACTACCTTGAAGTTAGACAGCTTTAAAGTGTATCTAAAGCCATTTTTGTAGTTTTGGATGGAGTAGTGAGGGGTTAGAGAGGTTTTTATTGCTATATAGGAAGCAGTAAGGGTGTGACACCAATGGTCAGAGTCCAGAAAGATGTTTTGTTAGATAATCAGTAGAAAACTGTATTTTGGGGTTGCTGCACAAACTCCTGTTGACAGGCTTTGACTATATACATGCAATCATAATACTATCCAATTGAGCTCAGCCATATTTTACATAATTCATACAGCCGAAGGAAAAGGGAGTGTCTGGACCCCCAAAAATGCATTATTTTTCTCTCCGAGTTAACTAATAGAACTAATTTTGGACTCTATCGGTGTGGCACCTTTAATGCTCCCTACATAGTTGAACTTTTCTTGAGACCCCTCTTTCTTCCCCTGGATGCACTGGTACTACGAGACGCCTCATCAAAGTAAGTCAGCTTCATCAATGAGACAGTCTTTTACAACACTAGATATTAATAAAAGAAGATTTGGTGCCTATTATGCATATACCCAGATCTGCAATGGTGTCCCCTTCTCTATTTGCCTTGGGGGCAATTGTCAGCAAGACTGAAAGTGATGAGAACTCCAAAATGTTTAGTATCCACCAGAACAGAAAAAGAGAGTAAATCTTCCAATAAGGACACTTGTTCCAGTGACAACTAGAAATTGACCCCACACCTAGGAAAGATTTACTCTCACTTCCTGTTGTGTCTACAGGAAACTGACCAGATATTCAAACCATTCCCTACATTCCCTACTCCAATGGAAATATGTTTTGGCTTTATATACACTTAGGCCCGTGATAGAAACTGGACATCCTAGAAAACCAAATATTACAGCTATGCTTTCTTCTTAATGCCAAACAAATAATACATACTATATGAAGAAATATGGGTTAGTAAGTGTAGGAAATTGCCTACAAAGCCTTAGGAGACTTATTCTCCTGTGTAACCCGTAATATGTCTACAATTATTGAACATTTGGCTTTGTTTTTTTAGGTACCTCGGAATAACTCGTCCCTTGACCTACCCTGCCCGACAAAATGGCAAACTCATGGCTAAGATGGTGTTCATCGTCTGGCTCCTCTCCGCCTCCATAACCCTCCCTCCTCTCTTTGGATGGGCTCAAAATGTGACCGTGGAGAGGATGTGTCTCATAAGTCAAGACTTTGGTTATACTGTCTACTCTACTGCAGTGGCCTTCTACATCCCCATGACCGTCATGCTCATAATGTACCAGAGGATTTTTATAGCAGCTAAAATCAGTGCTGAGAAGCACAAATTTGTGAGTATCCCCAGGCTTATGGAGCAAGAAGGCATATACTGCTTGGAGGAGAAAATGGCTCCTAAAAAGAACTCCAAAAAGAAGAAGGCGGCGGAAGAGTTTGCCACCTTGTCGAAGCTCATACGTCAAGACAGGAAGAACATTTCTATCTTCAAGCGGGAACAGAAAGCAGCGAGGACTCTCGGAATCATCGTTGGGGGCTTCACCTTATGCTGGCTCCCCTTTTTCTTGCTGTCTACAGCCCGTCCATTTATCTGTGGCATTAGGTGCAGCTGCATGCCCCTGAGGCTGGAGAGGACACTTCTGTGGTTGGGCTACACTAACTCACTCATAAACCCATTGATCTATGCCTTCTTTAACAGGGATTTAAGGACTACCTTCTGGAACTTGCTGAGGTGTAAATACACCAATATCAATCGGAGGCTGTCGGCTGCTAGCATGCACGAAGCGCTGAAAGTCACGGAGAGACACGAGGGCATCTTGTAAAAATTTTGGCATGGTTCCTTTTTTTGGTGAACTTGATTTCATTTGAAGGAAACCTTCAAAAGACATGCTATACAGTGCCTACTGCAAGTGATGATGCTTTATTGTGAATTGTGTTTGATGATATTTAATAGATATTTATTTCAGTCATTAACATTCATTTGTGATGACCTGTGGCATCCCTCCCTACTAGAAAACAAAAACAAAAAACTACCTACTTGAACTGACTCTTGAGTGGCAATTTACGCAAATTTCTACGCAAATGAAGTAGATAGTTAGGATGACATCACTGATACTGAATGTGCATTGTTCTTAATTTCCAACGTTTGCATAAAGATCAATATCACTCTGAAGGTTTCATATTAGACAATTGTAACCAGATTGCAAGATCATATTTTGGGGACAGTTTGCCACTTATGAAGACGTGCACCTTGTATCAGCTGTTAGGAAGAAAGAAATATTAACCACCAATACTTAAAAGTATACCTCTGTTTTGAGCCAGTTCTTGTTTTTATAGTGATGATGGGACTTCATATAAGTGGGTGTGGTATGCCCAGGTAAAGGAATGTTGGGGAAAGTGTTGGCAGACTTAGGGAAAGAGTTTAAGGTGATTTTCGGGCATTTGCAATCAACCCCCACTGTCCCGTCCCATTCCCCCCCGTTTACACTTTTTAAAAAAACTTCTGAAGATGCTATTACTCGCCTATGCCCACCATCTGTGTCACTTGCCACTGATGATCAGCGATCCAACGCTGCAGTCCAACTGGTCGCCTCTTTGTGATGCCATCATGCTGTGTAGTCTTCAAGAGCCTGAGACGATCCTATCGCTGGACAGCTACTAGGAAGTGTCCACATCACCCAGGCAATATATAAAAGATTTCCCAGCACTCCAGATGTGATATAACTTTATCCTCTATTGACGCAAGTCACATTGTTTGCCTGATGAAGGGACCCTATGTGGCCACAAAACGTTGTTTGCTCTATGATATGATTGGCTTGCATTAATAAAAGACGAAGTTATATCACATCTGGAGTGCCGGTGACTCTCTTCTACATTGCCTGTGTTTTGCCTTGCCATCCGCTTGTCACTGCAGCACCCAACCAAAACCTTAGGATCTACAGGTCAGGAGTGCAATGGGACACGTACAATAGTTTGCACATCACCCATGAAAAAACATGGACACCCAAAGAAGGACCCTCCCCTTCTGCAGTGAAGGAGGTAGAAGACTCAATACCCAGTGTGTCACATGACCACAGATATAGGCTAGACTTTTAGTTTAGGAATATATTTAACTAGCTTAGCAATGAATAAAATCCAAAAATAGGAACCGCTCATCCACCTGAGACTCCCAGGGGAAATGACTGCTCCAGAGCTTGTGGTCGGAGGTCACCATAATATGTAGCTATGTCTTGTGCAATTTTTTTGCAAGTGAGGAACATGGGTGAAATGTTCCTAAAAGTTCTACAAGACATAGCTACATACCATGGTGACCTCAAACACCAAATAGAACATGGACTATGGTGGGGTCTATGATCGGTCTGGTGCAATATAACTAGATTGATGTGCCGGAGATACTAGTGTGCAACTGTGTTCTTTTAGAACATAGCAATTTATTGGAGTGAGGGTGTTAATGCCTGAAGTTCTGCTTCAAGAGGGGACTGCAATGCATTTTTAGCAAGAATACAATTTGACTTATTGTAACCTTTGCCTGAAAGTTACATTTGATGAAACACTCACTTACTGTCCCTTATTTTGGGTTCTTGCATTTCAAAGGCTCCCGCTAGAGCTCAAATAGCAAGGATAACTTGCCACAAAGGGTGTCAGGGTTAAATTGTAATTCTTGTTAACTTGCTGCACATATTCCTGGCAAGTTGTAGACTTGCAGAACACTCGCAGCACAAGTTCTAGGTGACACTTTTTGAATTTGTAGCAAATTTGCTTGGCAAGTCTACAGCAAGATACCTGCAGGTCTTAGCTAGAGCTCTGCAAGTGTACAGCACTTTTGTGAAGCTTGGCAAGTCTGCAATAGTTTAGCAAGTCATTTTGAAACTTGCAGCTCAATTGCTTGCTATCTGGGAGGTGATCCGCATTTTCAGAGAAGGTGATTAGGATTTTTTGCTGAATGACTGTTGAGGTAAGCACAGCTAGACTACAGATGGTCTATTTTTTTAACAGGTCAGACATGACTAATAGAGAGAGGAGCAGCAGAGCACAGTCATTCTAAAAGGAGGAGGGGCCTATAAATGTAATAAGCAAATATGACTGCCCCATGTGCAACTGCATATATAATTACAGACTATACAAGTGAAGCATTAAAGCCATTTTTAAGCATTAACACACATTTGTAAAATCTTCTCCATTCTGCCAAAACATTTACATATTTATATATCTGTCAAAATTCTTGTTCCCAAAATTTTGGGAGGTATGCTTAATTGGAACAAACTAAAGAAATGTTACTCTGTCCTTTTTAAGTTTTATTTATGTGGTTCTGTAGGTAACAACTTGTGGTATTATGTATATAGTGGGAGTGTAATATTTTGGGTTGAACAGAAATTGTATTTTTTTTATGACATTTTGCAAAAAGTCACATTCACCAAAAAAAAAAGAAGATTCACCATGGTAAGCTAGTGTCTGTTCCGATGTGTTTTGCTTAATGGAAGGAACACATTGTCCATCTAATCGATGTGTCTGTCCTTCGTTATGAACTCAATAAACAGGCTTTGCCCACTTCTCTGATGTGGCCCTGGAGTGTTGTTTTTTTAAAGACGGAGATGGATCAGTATGTGGGAAGGAAACAATAAGACATGTAAATTGTGTTTTGTTCCGAATGGCTATTCGTACAAATTTCAATAAATTTGGACATTCGGATGCATGGGAATTTCCAAAGTAGAAGATGGATGAATGTGAACGAATCTGAATGGTCATTTGAGGAAAATACACTGAGTGGCCAGTTTATTATGACCACCTGACGTTTGTAGGCAAATTAGCTATAATTAGCTATAATTTGGCGCTGAAGTTGCTAGAGGGCCAGACTATTATAAATAGGGAAGCAGGTTGTTTACCACGACAGTAGAAGTGATTTGTTTATGAAGATACGGGGAAACAACGCGATGTAACAGCCTTTGAACGTGGGATGATTGTTGGCGCTCGGAGCCATGGAGCGATTATCAGCAAAACAGCAGAATTCGTTAAATGTTCAAGAGGGGCTCATTGTTAAAGTGTTTAAAGACTGGACTGTCAGCCGAAAATCTGGGTCTGAACGTGCGAATTGTGTCCGTCAGCGACTAGTCAATGTTAGGGCGGAACGGAGAGTGGCAAGACTGGTACAAGACAACAGAAGGGCAACAGTGCAGTGTCAGATTCCTCGCATCACCTTTCAACATCTCGTGGAGTCACGAGGCGGCCCAACAAAGTCATCTCGTGGAGTTATCTCGTGGCCCAACGAAGTACTGATGGGGTGGTCATAATAATCTGGCCACTCAGTGTATATATCCCTCTGAATTTTGTTTAACACTAAATTAAATTGGACACGTGACAAGGGGAAAACAAGGCGTTTGCCTTGGGTGGCACTTTAGAGGGGGGCGCCCTCAAAACAGTCAGGCAAGCCGGGCTGCACAGAATTCGGCTGCCTAATCTAGGGGGACAAGGAGGCAGAGGTGGAGGTGAGGAGAGGAGGAGGAGCAGCAGGAGGGGGCGGGTCCGGATCCCCATCAAGGGGCGGGTCCGGATCCCCGTTGGGCGACGGAGGACGCCGGTCCCGAAAAGCGCCAGTCGGGCGCGGAGGATCTGGGACCTGCAAGTGCAAGATGGGCGTGGAGGAGGCTGGGTGGGTGGTCCGGCAGTGAAGGAGGCAAGGCCCAGCAGCGGGCTGCAGATGCAGGTAAGTGGATCACACTGCTGTTAAAGGGACCCTGCAGAGCCCAGCATACATTCTGCACAGCCCACCTGAAAGTCTCAGGTGGAGTCTGCAGGATCTGTGATGGGGTCTATGGTGGGCTCCGCAGGGTCTCAGGGGGGCAGTGCAGGATCTGTGGTGAGCTCCCACCCCCCTGAGACCCTGCAGACTGCCTAGGGCAGCCTCAAACCAGAATACACCACTGCATGTGACACTTCTCTGGCCAATCAGATGGGGGTTTTTTTTGGCTGTTAGGGGTTGCATTACAGGCAAGGCCGTGTGATTTCATTCTGAAGCGAAAAATCAGATGGATCTGAAATCCAAATAACAAACTGATTCAGATTCAAATAGACCCGAATATATCCAAAAGAAAACAAAACGATTTTTTGAGTTACATGTCTAACAATCATCTCATAATACATTGGGCTCAATAAGGGCACTAACATAAAGAAGGGGTACACCATAGAGTGCAAGTGAGAGGTGCACCAGAGTAGTCTGCTAGTATTGTATTGTATTGACTAGTCATCAATTTGTCACAATTCCAGGGATGTGAGCCCACAAGCGAGCAGGTGGCATGAGATCCCCCAGGACGCAGGGTCCAAGGGCCAGCCCATATTCTACCAGGAACCCTCTCACGGAAGTTTGGGCATAGCTGTGTGCAGGTTCACCCTGCTCGCATGTGGAGAGTACCCATACACACAGGAGATGAAGAACATGGCTGCGTGCCAGTCAGCGCCCGCAAAGGTGAGATGGCAGCAGAGAAAACAGAGATCTGGAAAACAGCCTAAGGTCAGGGCTGGCAGCAGACAAATGTAACCAAGAGAATAAGCCGAGTCGGTACACGAAGGGTCAATCAAAGGAAAAGCAGGTCAGGAGCTAAGGCAAAGATGGGAGCTGGGAGGCAACAAGAGCATTGCTCAAGCAAAGCAAGGCTGTCTGAGCAGGATTTAAATGAGGAGAGAGACAGAAGGCTGGACAGGAAGTAGAAAGAAGCAATAAATATCAAGGGTCAAGTGATGCGGGTGACACCCATAGTAGAGCACATGCTTGTAGAACTACAGGTGCCAGCCGACCCACAGCAGCAAAGAGGTAAAAACAAAAATGCAAGCC